TGAAAATTATATTCAATTATATCAAAAAGCTGAGCAAAATTATTTCAAAGGCAATAGAACATTAAGATAATTAATGCCCAATCATATAATTTCAAGAGAAGGTTGAAGGCGCATAAGTTCCACCAATCGGTGGAAATAACTTACGAAAAAAAAAAAAAAAAAAAAAAACCAATAATCGGATATCGTTTTATCGTTTACAGTTCCACGAAATTTCGATCCCTCTTTACATCCCTTCCAAGCGGCCAGGGAATACACAAAAGCACTGAACGCCGTTAAGTTAGAAAAGGTATTCGCGAAGCCTTTTATAGGCAGTCTAGAAGGCCACAGAGATGCGGTGTCCTGCATATGCAAGCATCCCTCTCAGCTGTCCACGATTCTCAGCGGCGCTTACGACGGCGAGGTGAGAACGTGGTCTCTCAGCCTGGGCACGTGCACACGCGCGTTTTTGGCTCACGATGGCATAGTTCGCGGTATTGCTTACGTGCCAGATGGAAAACATTTAATTACAGTCGGTGACGACAAAACGATCAAAACCTGGGACGCAGTCTCTGCTGGTGAAGATGAGGAACCTGTGAATACTATTGTCAACAAAGTATACAGCTTTTGGATATACTGTTTTCCTAAAATTTACCAAATATGAATATATTAAAAATTTTTTAAGCAATTTTTTTTGTCCGTAGACAGTATTAACTGGCATAACTCATCATCGAGCTAACCCTACATTTGTTACTTGTGGAGAAGGAATATGTCAAATGTGGGAGGATACTCGTAATGAGCCACTTCGTACATTTAAATGGGGTGTAGATAGTCTACTCGACATAAAGTATAATCCTATACAAAAAGATCTTCTAGGTACAACGTTTGATGAAAGATTATTATATTCTATATGCATATGAGATACCAATAAAATATGCTCTATGTCAAATTTAATTTTAATTTCCAGCCTCCTGCGCCAGCGATCGCAGCATAATTTTATACGACACTAGAGAAACAGGACCTCTAACAAGGATAACAATGAAATTACGCAGCAACAAGCTCTCTTGGAATCCTATGGAAGCTTTTATCTTTACCTGTGCCAATGAAGATTACAAGTAAGATATAAAATAGAACATCAAAGGATGGCTTCCTGCAATTTCTTTGTGAATCTTAAATGTATTTGTTTTAGTTTGTATACATATGATATCCGCAAGATGAAAACGCCGGTAAACGTACATATGGATCACGTAGAAGCCGTGATAGATGTGGATTATTCTCCGACGGGCAGAGAATTTGTTTCGGGCAGCTACGACAAGTCGATTCGTATTTTCGAGACGAATAAAGGTCACTCACGAGAAGTGTATCACACAAGACGCATGCACAGACTTACCTGCGTAGGATGGTCGCTCGATAACAAATTTGTAATTAGCGGCAGCGACGAAATGAATCTTCGTATATGGAAGGCTAAAGCATCGGAAAAGCTCGGCATTGTAAGCATACAAATATCACGATTCCACGAATTTATAAGCAATTTTTCAGTTATCGATAATACTCTCCATGTCTCTGTTCCTAATTTCAACAGCTGAGAGTTAGAGAAAGAAACGCACTGCTTGTCAATGAAGCTTTGAAAGAAAAGTACGCGGCGCATCCGGAAGTTCGACGAATTGTACGTCATAGACAAGTACCGAAACACATATATAATGCGCGAGCCGAATTACGAACGATTCGCGAGAAAAGTAAACGCAAGTAAGTATAATGAAAAATCGTAGTGTTCAAATTTTACAATATACTTTTGAATAGTATTATAATATTGTTTTATCTCGCAGGGAGGCTAATAGACGTTATCATTCCAAGAAGGGAACTGTACCGTTTGTATCAGAAAGGCAAAAGAATGTTGTGGCTCACGAAAGCTGAAACGGCACATATTTGTATCTTTTTATCTGCCACATTTCAACCTTTATTTAACGACTCATTTTAAATCATTGAATTTGTATTGTTGGATTCTACAAGATGCTATGCAGTCGTAAGGAATACTTTGTATTATATTTATTGTAATAAATAATTTCTCTTGACATTATACAACGTATTGCGATAATAAAAAATCATGAAACATTACAAACCTCAAGCAATGATTAATGTCATGCGTAGCGTACATTACAACAGTTAATTATGCTGTGTTTTTTGCGCGATTATCTTTTTTAGCACGCATTAATCGATTTAATACAAACACTTCATTTTTCTCTTGTTATTTTTAACTTGATATTCCAAAAACACTATTTTGAAATTTTTGCACAATCCATTAGATCGCACATGTGCGATGAGATTAACGACATGAGACACATCACTGTTTTTACGCAATTGCGGCTATGAGTTGAAAAAATGATTTATGATAGATGTAAACGAAGTTTTACAGATACAGATATTTCTAACGAGACTCGTTATTACAATAAATTTTAGCAATTTGCGTTGTCATCAACGCGTTATAGCGACACATTGTAGAAACGGAAAGTCACAATTGATTCATATTTGCAGAAATCTATTATACATATCATACATACGATTTCAATGCACTATATCCATAATTCTGAACTTTCTTTAACCCAATGCGTCACTAGATACGACTCTGAATATATACTTGTCGACAAATTATGATGAAATCTCATTTGTCGTTCAGGAATCGAAACCGTCATCATTTTAGAAAATTTAATATTCAATGCTACAAAAATGTACGCTATGTTGTCTTTATATCCCTATAGCATAAAAATTTAATCACCAAGACTGTTGCAGCTTAATATTTACTCTTATTTTTTTATAATGAATAACGATCATAATGAATTATTTTAATGAGATGGCAGTTTGTATTCGATGTAGCTTGTACATCCTATACTTAATAGCCAAGGAATCGCTAATATGTGGTGATTATACTCGAAAAATTATTTTCTGGTATATAAAAAAGTGCAGTTTAGTGTCTGGTCGACGCTGAGAATCGTTATTTTAAATACGATAGTTATTTACGCATCGTACGATTTCATTGTCGTAACTATGCGCGAATTTCTGTACAAGACTAGGATAGCTGAGAAACTAAATTATCGCCTATTACAATAATTCGCGTTTCGTCGAGTCGAAATTTCGAGGAAGTTCTGTGTCCTCTCTTAGGCGTAATTGCATTTCCAAGATTCCATGCTGTTTACTAATCCTCTTTGACGTTTATTAATTAAATATACGTGTGGAAATATAACGCGCGAGTGAGAATAATTATAACATATATATATATGTATATATATATACATATAAACACATGTACATCAATATTATGATCAAGGATCAAAGTGAAAAATATTTCAGCCGTTTTTATTCTCGTTTTGCAATTTTTATTCTATATATATCTTGTTTTCATCAAATTATAATGGAATATTTTCCAATAACTTCTTATTATTTCATTCGCCGTGGAATGAGAAATAAATCAGAAAATTTTCGTTTTTCATGTTATTCTGTACGAGATAACAATTGAAATATATGGCAATCAAAATTATTCCATTTTCAATACTAAAAGAGAGCAAACTGTTTCTCTTTTTATCGAAATTTCGGTGAATATTGTTTCGTTTTTGATCCCCGATGTATCATCGGATTGCGATATACTATCGGGAATGCGATTAAATGATAAACGAAAGAATCTAACTCCGACATACATAGGCTCGATAATGGACCATATCTTGACTTTGCTCCCAAGCTCGAACATTTTTTTCAGCGATTCGACTCACTTAGCTGAACCTATAGAATATGTGACGTTTCTTTGTATTTTTCGCATTTCAAAGATATATACTTTTGATTAACTATAAAATCCAATCATAAAAACGGAGGAAGTGATTGCATTTGCCTATTATACAATAGCCTTCCCGTTTCCGGAGTAACTATAGAATATATGTTGTGTGTAACGATGGTGTAATACGAGCCTCAATTACATCTTACGAAAAAAATAGATAACTGTTCAGTGTTCAGTCGAATAAAAATTGCTAGATCACTTTCGGACGCCTGAATAAACTGTAATCGAGACAGGAACTAGATGGAAAAATATTTTAATATAACGCCATTCTGGAAAAGAAAGTTATCGATTTTTCTCTCGGAGAACAATATCCTTCACGTATCACCTTTACAATTTTTTTCTGAAAAAAACAAAAAAAAACATTTTGACATCCTTTCAACGTATTTTTACATTTTATTTCAACTGTAAATTAGTCAAAATTTACTCAAAAATTTATTAAGTTCGTAACCTTTCGCAATGAATTAATTAATTCCCTTATCTTCTTAATGCTCCAATTACGCATCTATTGCGCGTTTTACAACAAGAATATATTATACGAATCGTTTGGTATTGTTGCAACTATCGAGAGCAATCCAAACGATAACAAAATTCGATTTCGACAGTCCGTTTAACGTAGAGAAACTCGCAAAAATATAATAATCTTCGTAACGAGCACTTGAACATATATTAGGTTTTGTAAAAATAATTTATTCCAATTGAAGTTCCGATAGACGATCAATTGCTATAGCATATGCTTAAAACTAACATCTGGCTAGGCGTGCTGTGATACAAAATAATCGAATCGCTATTCCACAGTCACGCGTCCGTATACAACACTAGCAGTTATTAAATTATCTACGCTACGTTTCTTACCGTTATTAATGACTTACGAGTATGTATCACTGGTGGCTGTGCGAGTCTTTCCGGAACATAGATTCGTTAACTAAGCGTCGTTTAAAGTGCGTTGCGCCGACGTCGATTACCTTAGGCAAAATCTCTTCGCGGATAATGATCGCGAATAACGATCGGCTTTTTACATACAATACAAATGGCACAAAATCGATCAGGTACAAATATACCGAACGGTGCCTCACGTATCTTCCATCTGGTTTTAAATAAATCGACAAACCATAGGAAAGTGCAGAAGAGAGAGAGAGAGAGAGAGAAAGAGAGAGAGAGAGAGAGAGAGAGAGAGAGAGAGAGAGAGAGATTGTCGATCGTTTTAGACATTCAGATCGGCCATCATTTTGCGAAAATCCGCTAGGGTATTGTAATCCGGGTCCGAATCGATGTCCGCGAAATCCTTGCTGGAGTCAGTCTTGACGAAGCTCGGATTGTATCGGCTTAGCGACAATGGGCACGGCAATAATTCCGGCATAACCGAATGATGAATGATTAGCGCAGTGAGCGTCGTGAATTCTTTCGTGAAGCCCTGAAACATACAACATTATTGATTTTACAGCGTTCGTGGTGCTGTATCGGCATTAATTCTAACGCTCGTCAAAGTTTACCCACCGCTATCTCGCTCGTGATAATTCTGCTTTCTCTCGCAATTGTAAACGTTGTCGAAACGTAAATTTTATTCAGTCCGTCGAAAAATAAAAATACAATTCATTTTATACGCGTTATATATATTTTCGCAGAAACAATTAAATACCTGTTATTTTTAAATATACAGGAACGATTTCGTTTATAGAAAAAAAATTAGAAATATTAAATGAAAAAGAAAGTAAAAATATAATGTTTTGTTTTTCAAGCCAAAACTGTAGATAATTTAGTCGCAATCGAATTTCAAACAGTATTTCAACAGAGCTCAAAGGTTTAGTTGAAATAATAAAGAGAAAAATCCATTTGATAAATAGCGCAGAAATAACACAACCAGCTTATCGTTTTGGCTATTATTATATGCACATTGTATTATGCGATATTATGCACATTATCATGTTACTGGGCATTGTTGTAACACACGTTGCAGGACAATGAAATGCGATATTAGTCGATCGGAGATCTTTCTTCGCGTTTTCAGTCATATTGCGAGGCACATAACGAGATTTAATATTAAATGTATATCATATATACGGACGCGCTGACACGAACCTCGGCATATCAGGGCTATCGTACACCGGCATTCATTCGAATCTGGCGTTGTGCTTATTACAGTGCGATGCAATTTTCCGCGTCGTCGTAGGGCGAGGGAGAGAGAAAGCAGAGTTTTGATTTCCCAACGGCATCCGCGGCATATCCAACAAAACTCATTTATACTGGTTTCGGAGATTATCAAAGTCCGCGTACTCATTTAATCTATCCTACGAGAGGGGGAAGTTCGACCATTTAAATACCGAATGGCTAAATGCGCGGTAGCTTTGCACCAGGCAGTAGTAGTCCTGAGTATAATGTTCAGACTACTAAAAGCTTCGACCCTTCACGCATTAGCATCCTGCGCGCAGCTTATTTCAATATTAACTTGCGCTTATACAGGAAGATTCTCTCTCTACCGTGGGTATTATTTCGTGCGTTAAAAGAATTTTACCCCTTTCACTAGAACCGACTGTCTAGCTTCGTACAAATGCGAAGATCCAATAAGCAAAATGTTGGCACGTCGACAATTTTGAGTAGAATATCATATCATTGGCATCAATTGTATTAAATTTTTTTAGATACACAAGAGAACAATTCAGTTGGACCACCGAAATAACTATTGAACCTTCAAGCATAAATGAAAAATGCTGCAAAAAGTTTTTGACATTCTAACAATTATTTTATCTTTTTATAGTCCAACAAAATTATTTTCAGATCGATATCCAACTAAATTTTTTAATAATTTTAATAAATTCTTTCCGTATACCACCGATTTACTCCAATAATAAATTGCCAGCAGAAAACCAACAGAATTTGTTTTGTGCTCATTTAAATGTCCTTTTTAAAGTAGAGTATATTTATATTTCTGCAATTTATTCCACTATTACATTTAACTAGCAGATTCCATTGTACTTCCGCTGATATTCTGGCGTATAATTTATAGCGGACACTTTGCGAAATTTACTTTCGATACATTCAGCTGTTTCGAGAGCCGTCGTGATTCTCTCTCTAACTAAAAACAGCATATCGCATCTATCAAAACAATCAGCGTTATTCTCAGAGAGAAACGTAAGTAAAACGTAAGTAAATTGCAATCCGTGCAGTTTTCGCTTTTATGGTCCTTTGATGGGAACGCGAATGCTGTTTGGCCAACGGCAGATTCACTATGACTTTCGCGAGCCGTTTGCGATTACTTTGGTACTCGATACTCGGTAAAGAATGGCCGAAGACAGAAGGAGAGACTTACTTTGATTTTGTAACCTTTGTTTGTACGCATTATGAGATAATGGGCTATTCCACTCGGCTGAAATTCACGGGGCACACGGAGGGAGAGGGCGTAACATCCGGGCTTGCTGGTACTCTCGCGCACCATAAACGCTCCTTCCGGCTCTTGGCTCAATACTTCCAGCGTTATCTCTCTGAAATCACGATTCGTATCATCAATGATAAACGGTCAGGAGGCCTTTTCTTGCTGAGAGAAACAGAGGAAATAATCGGATTTGCGTATTCCATTTACAAAGGCAGCTACTGGAAACTGGACTATAGACTGGATCACCCGACGAACATTTAAAATTAGCCAGAGGCGATGTGTGACTATTTTGGCTCGCCGAAAGCACCGAGAAAGCACCGCGTGAGCGCGCGAGCTTGTGTGCGCGTGTTTATATTTTACTCCGACGTGTGTAGTAATGTCGCGGAGGCCAACCTGGGTATTCCAGCTTGAAACCAGGGCGCCTTGCGTAGCTCGGCCTCCTCACTTCGATTATTCAGGCTGTCTGTTCTCTCGGGTAAAGGCGGCGGGGTTGGCGTGGAGCCATGAGTGCTTCCGTCAGCGGGTACCGAGCTGCTCGACGTGCTAATTTGCGATCTTCTTTTCGACTTGAATTCCGCCTCCGTACCCGAGTCCGGGCAATTGTGCCCTATCCTGAAAATGAAAGAGCTCGTTCGCTGTCGTTCACGATTCGTACCGATCGTCCCTCGTCATTACCGAAAAGGCGAGAGAGAGAGAGAGAGAGAGGGGGGGGAGGGGCGAAGGAGAGAGAGAGAGAGAGAAGAAGAGGGAAGAATGGAGAACGGTTCGGCTATAAACTTACCTGTTGTTCTCGATGTTGAAATTCTTCACGTTAGTGATGGACGCGTTGATGGTGTTATCGAGGCTCTCGGACGGTGGAATCTTGTTGTATGACGGCCTCGTACCCTCCGAGTCGATGATCGCCTCGTTTATGTAGCCCCCGGAATGGGGCCTGTTCGATGGGCTGGTCGGCGTACTGCTACCGCTGACGAGCGGGCAGCTGTCATCCTCACCGTTCAACCCAAGAACGTCGCGTCCACCTGTCAAACCCATCGCCAGCCGCTTTATCAGCGGCGGCTTGTCCGTTAGCCTCTTGTACGAGTTCAACTCTGTCGGCGAGTTGCTCTCATCGCTGCTCGGCGTGCTCTGCTGGGACAAGCTCTTTGGCTCGTCCACATTCGTTATGGGACCGAGAACGTTCGTAAACGACGGCCGTAGACCTGGGATTGTGTTTGGTGCCTGGAATTGTTCGAATTCGTCGTTTGAGCGCGACCAAGCGTTTCACTTGTTTCGAGGTAAACCGTGTTCTCTCGGTCGTGGCAAAGCGCGTCACGCGCGAGAAATGGATAAAGCCGCGATATTGGAAGAGATATTAAAAGAGACACTACGCGCCGCCTAGCGCCCGACGATGAGCGCGCGGCGTTCTACGAAGTTAATTTACTCTAAGTTGCTACCAGACTACCAACCGGGCTAATTCGCTTTCGCGTAATAACGCCCGAGTGTAATATAATAGCGGCTCCACAACTCCGCTGACGATGGATTTGTTACACTTGTATGAAATCACCTTTACGCTGGCGAGTCGCAGCGTGGGCGAGCCGGCGCTGCCGAGTTGCACGTTCATATCCGCTGCAGACGGACCCCTTCCAGTCTTGGAGGTGGGCGACGTCCGACTTTTCAGCCACGAGTTCGACGACGGACTCCTGCAAGCGCCCGCGGCGGTCGTGTCGTCTCCGGGCAGCGATTTGTTCTGCAAACGAAACGGCGGTCATTGCCAAAATTACATCCCCCGTCGCGACACACCGTGTACTTAAAGAGGACCTCCGATTATTTCCTCAAGATCGGAGGTAGCCTCTCCGACGCGCAATCATTGCCTTAAATGCGGATCCGAGAGAGAGAGCTCGGTCTCTCTTGGACGAATCGTTGATTAAGCAGAACCATCGGAACGATTCAATCTCTTCGAGATTCTCCCGGGATGAATATTTAATAGGCGGAATCACACAGGCGATCCTAAGGCGATTTTGCGGCGGGGACCATGGCGAGCGGACCGTGGCGGACTGACCGTTTACTTGGAAACGCGACGAGGCGAAACGCAAGGCGACGCAAGGCGACGCGAGACGGTAAGCGAGAGACTTGGCTCGAATTTATAATTAACGCGGCTCGTAAACGGGACACCTACTGGAATCGGTGGCCCTCGTGAGACGGAGAGGACACGGTTGTCGTCGTTGTCCCTTTCGTCTCGCGCTTCTTGGATATTTAAGAGGCTCTTCCGCGAGCTCTTCTCCAGCAGCAGCTTCCTTACTGCTGTACGTGTATATGCATCCCGGTACGTGTATTTGCTCTGCTTCCTGGCATATAGCAGTCGCTACCATCTGCTCCAATAGCCTCCAGAATATCGTGCTTGCGCGGAAGGAAAAAAGAATTCGATCGTACGACTTGGACAAACAATCTTATAGTGATTTCGCAGCATTTCGTGAGAAAAGTTTTAGGCGAAAAGTTATATAATGATCGACCGAGTCGTTCTTTGTTACGCGTTTCCCGGATAATTAAAAGTATCCTTTTCACTTTCTATATATGCCTCTATTTGTTTCGTTTGACAAAATAAATTGCTGCGATAGAACTCAACAAGCGTAATCTTTAAGAAGATCTCGGAACTGACTGTCCGCTAATTGCTAAAACTACTTAATTGCAATCTACGGCGCTTTTGTGAGAAAACTAGCAGATGGCACGATACCGAACCGGCCTGTAAAGTTTAACTCAACTAACTCGCTAGCTGACAGCGGCAAAAATAAATGACTTCGTTAGCACTTTAAACTACACGGTGCTCCTTTTATTTGCCAGCAAAGTGCGCTGGTGACAATTCTTTTGTGTCTCGCGTAATTTGCATTTTTTCATTATTTTGCGGTCATTTATTCAAATGGATCGGGATCTATTATTTTGATATGTTTGAAACATACCCACGACGTTCGATGCTCCTGCTTGTCCTTGCGATAAGACGGTGTCGATCGTGATGAGATTACATCCTGAAGGATCGGTTGGCGCTGAAGCTGCGCCACGTACGCCATGCGGAAAGCATTGCCAACGATGGTGTTCAACTCCTCCGCCTGCAAGCAGACAGGAAAGCTCGAGTTCCGACACAAATTTTATTAAACACAGCATTTTGCTGTTTCTTTTGTAATATTACCGTTGCAATCCGATTGTGGCCGTGAACGCAGTTTGTTGCTTTCAGTTTAATTACAAAGAATATTTCCGTGTTTGTGCTCCACGAAATGAATTAATTATACGTAATTGATTCTTTTGAAAAAAAATAAATACGCAAATTACGTATACGATATTTACGATTAAAACTTTACTGAGCATAATTGGATATTTCACATGACATGAAATATATTGTTCAAAGAATAACTTTTTTCGAGTGGAAGAGCGAGGGCAATTGTTTCCCGCAGTTTTTTTCAGCGCTAAATTATGATTCCATTTATCAAATAAATTACCATAAACAGGATTGCATTCAGCGTTTAAAAATTGTGAGAAATTATTATTTTCATTCTTATACATTTTTTGAAATCAAATAATAATAATTTGTAAGACAATCGGAAAAGTTTGAAATGTATTTTTTTTTTTTTTTTTTTTTTTTTTTTGGACAATTAAACTCTTCTGCATTGCAAGATTTTATTTTATTTTATATCTAAAAAAGAATACTGTACACTCAGAGAAAAGGTTGCTTTGATTTAAAGAAATGTTTTTTTTGTTATACGGTTAGAAACAAATTTTTTTTTTATTTGCGAAAAAATTGTTTTTATTTAAACATTATTTTTTTAAATCAAATAAAATTTATTTGATTTAAAGAAATTATGTTCAAATTCAAGAAATGACATTCAAATAATGATTTGTAAATTTTATTTGATTAAAAAAAAAAATGTTTAAATCAAAGCGACATTTTTTCTAGCAAAGAAACGTTTCTTTAAATCGAAGCAACCTTTTCTCTGGGTATACAGTCATACTGTAGTCAAAATGCTGTGCATAAAAAAGAAAAGAAAACCGTAGTGCCCGCGTCGTCGGGCAGCATTATAATTAAACTTTAATGCAAGCCTAGAAAAATTTACGTCGCACAAAAATAATGCATCGTCGGGTCAATTAGATTTTTCCGGATCCTCTGGTGGCGGAGGAGAAACGCGCGGCCGACCGCACGTTGACGAGCAGAGAGACGTTGCCGCAGCGCAAAAGCGAAGTCTGAATGTGTAATAAGCACTCGCGGAGAGCCGCAAGCTTTCGGGGCACGAAACATTCGCTCGTGCATGCGTTTAGAAAGCTCTCGAGTGCATACGTTTCGCGTTTGTACGCGAGCCAGATGCAGATAGACTGCATGTAGGCGTGCGTACGTTACGAGCGGTCACGCAGAGGTACACGTACAGCCAGAAATGGGAAAAGGGTCGGCGAGGGCTATCTTTCTCGTTTCGGGAAGCTCCACCGCTGAAAGCCGCGACGCGATGCGTATTAATGAACACCGGGTCGACCGTAGGGTCTGCGAGTCTAAAGAGAAGCATTGTACGCACACGGAGATGGACGAAGGTGGCGATTAACGTCTCTCGTCCGTCTGACTTTTCCTTTCACGATGCAAACCGTCTGGCGAGATATTCAATCGTTTCGCGGGGGTATCTATGTACATCTCGGATTCTAGCCTCGCATACTTCGCCTATGTAGTACTTCGTCTATGTACTCCCCGTGACATTGTTACGACATTGTTGCAAGCGATGCGGAAATCCCGGCTTGGCTTCAGCGTGCCCCCCCCCCCCCCCCACCCCCCGTAAAGCAAGGAAATACGCGGCTCGCCAGTGAAATCCGCGTACGAGCGACGAAAATGCAAAAAAAAAACGAGAGATAGGATTGCAAAGCCGAACGTATCGCGCTACGTATTTTCCAATGATGCTACACATTGGTTTGCACGAGCTTTTCACCGTCCGCCACAGCGTTGCTACAGAAGCCTACTAGGTAGAGGTGCAGCGCTTGGATCAGCCATTTGGCATGTAGAAAGGCGAAGCGAAAGAAATAATGCAAGAAAGTAATGCGTTTTAATGAATACGCGCTCGTGCAGGAAAACGGCGCGGCAACGGTTGAGCTTTTTGAATTAAAACGCGCAGCAATGCTCACTCGAATAATTTCATGGTTTGTGGTTTGAGGTCAGGTCGAATGATTCCACTAGTTACGAGATATTTCAATTACGTTTGCGCGCGGGGTAAGGCGATGACTTGAGCTATAATTGCGTACCGGACGCACGGTTGCTCTGCAACTCGCTAAGTCATATCCGAGCGTTCTCTTCCGTTGCTCCATAAGTGCCATACGAATCTCCATTTTAGTATAAATGTGTATTGGCTTCGCCACACAAATTTTTCCTTATGAGAGTTGTGAAGAGATACAATAACATCTATATTAAGTGATCCCCGAATCGTTCAATATTGTTGTACAATTATTTCGAACAATATTATTGATGCGCACTTTAAATTGAAAACAGTTTTTGACAATGTAGACGATCAATAATATTGTGCAGTAACGAATATTGTACAATAATGTTGATCGCCCAAGAATCAGATCTCCTTTAGAGATCAAATTGTATCCAATTTGAATAATGTTTAATCATTTCTATAGGTTACTAATATGTTAATTTAACTAGAACAATTTAATTTGAAAATGTATCAAATCTAATTCAAGTTTAATTTATTATTTACTAAGTGCATACGTTAATATGAACATTGTTTATTTTTAAACGACGACATTCAACCACAGAAATGAATTCATTTACATTCTGACATACGAGTACATCATGAAAATTAAAAAAAAACCAAAACATTACTCAAGACATTTACTTAAAATTATCATTGCTTATTTGATATTTAACAGTATATTTTATAAAAGTGAGAGATCAGATATATTGATGAATGAAATATATTCAACCTGTTATTTGTGATATATCGATTAAATAATTTTTCTTTCATCATTTGGAAAAAAGGAAATTGCGCGTTCACATGTCTGTTGCTTTAATGATGCAAACAGATTATTCGCAACTGTTTTAGTTGTTGGATTTGAAATTTAAAACACGATAGAGTCCACGCATTCAATCTACCCTATTTAACTCCTTTCAGCAGCTCTTGCTACTTTTATTAGGCGCGTATATTTGTGCATCAAGCGTCAAAATGCAAAACGGCAGATATTATCAATGAAGTAGCGCACAACGCGTTCCACAACGTGGGAAAATCTGAGGACTAATTTATCGCAGGAAAGAACACGTTTCTGCCGTCAACGGTACGTTTCGTAGAAATCGTGAAGAAAACCGTCCGAGCAATGGAAGCTCGCTTGCTCACCGCGAAGAGCAAAGGATCGTGTCATAGAGGAGAATTTATCGCGTCGTGGGCGGAACGCTGGACACGGGCTGGATCCCTCGACTTCGACCCTTCTCCTCTCCGTCCCCGTGGCCGAGAATCGAAAATACGGCCCTGAGATTCCCGCCCCGAGGTGGAATTTAAGCGCGATGAAATCATCACCGGCGACTCTTCTTCCTCTCCGCTCTACCCTATCCTGGACGTTGACTCGAGCAGGCACTGACCCTCTTCACCGCGTTTTGATTCAGGTCCGTTTGATCGATCGCGATGACCGTACCGCTGTTACCGCGGTAAATCGCGACACACTCTGTGCGACTTTCTGGAATCGCAGACGAAAGGTTTCCGTCAGCGAAAAAATTCTCAAGATGAAGTGTCAAACCGAAAAGAGACCTCAGCCGTCCGTGGATCAAACGTCGCGCGGATAAAACGTTACGCGGATTTGAAGAAAGAAGAAAAGGAAGAAAAAAAAAGAAAGGCATAACTTCGAAAGAGCTATTTTAGCTTGCTCGAGCACAGACCGATTCGCTGTTTGCGCCGGTGGCTTCGCGGCAAAAAAGACGAGGAGGGACACCGGAATCGAATGGGAAGGGAACCGAAAGGGCGATGGATCGCGCGCCGTGGCTTTGCGCCGGTGCAGCGTGACGGGCTACATTCCAGGCATTCCGCGCGGTCACGGCCATATCTCCAGCTCCTCTAGATTTCCCGTCCCGCATACACCCGGTCTACCAACACCATCCCGCGGTAACACAAGCCGGTACTCGCAATAATGGCGCTCGGATGGGGACCGGCCCTCTCGTCGCGCCTCTCTGAATTTCCCTCGCTTCGGTTTCTGGTTTACCTCGGCGTCGCCCGCCGATGCTCTACCTCCGGGTGTAAATAGCCGGGGAGGAAAAATTGTGGAGTACGAAGTAACCGGACCTTCCTTGTCGCGCGTTATTATTGTGCCGCACGAAGCGATGCCGACTCAACCATCTTGGTACCGTCGCTTCGCTACCAACGCCACGTAGTCATCGGACTACGTTCAGGAGAAAAAGAAGCTTTACAACTCTATTGTAAGATCCTTTAATATCATTGATTCTCGCTCTTAATTCCTCGCCTAAATATAATGAACTAATCACATTAAAGAATCTTACAACAGTTTCAAAGCTGCTTTTTCTGCTGAACTCAGCGATTGACGGTTCAAACCATGCTTTTACATTCACATCATTATCCTAATTCTTTCTCGTAATAACAATGCCCTAATAAAATTATTATCATAATAATTACGCTTCTTTCATCCATTCGATTGCGTTCTTCCGATCTGCCTGCGCGGATGCTGTAGAGCTTGCAACTGTGCTCGCTGAAGATGACAACAAATACGAATTTGCGACAACCCCGCTGTGATATATCGTTCCCACAAACGTTAGTTAAAGTTAACAGAAGTTTAACTAGTTCTCTGTCATTTTCAATCTCTGTTTGTTCGAGAGAGAAAGGAGATCATGTGCTCAAGGACTGTCAAACTCGTGCGATCGACGAATCAGGTTGAAACGAGCATGAACAAGTTCTGCCTTCGGTGTTATGGGCTTCTGCTTATGACAGGCACGGCAGTTTCGAATGTCAAATATTCAAGTTGCACCGTTACACGCCGTTATACCAATACGACCGGACTTGTGCGTTAGACTCGTTGACGTATAATTGTTACAACGTTCGAGGCGATTATTCAATGATGCCAGAATTTACTCCGGAAATTG